GACAGGATGGACCAGAGGGTCATTCGTGGGCTACCCAGAGAGATGTCAGCCAATGACATCAAAGAGGATCTAGTGAGCCAAGGCATCGCAGACGCCGAGGTTCAGCAGATGACCTCAAGGACCACAAAGAAGCCACTTCCGCTCTTCCTCGTCAAGACGAAGATGCCGGAAAAGCTTGCAGAGATCCAGAGGCTGGCCATGCTCACGGTCAGCTTCGAGAGGAAGAAAAAGTCTTCCGAGCCCAGCCAATGTTACCGCTGCCAGCGGTACGGGCACACACAGCGGAACTGTCGTCTCGCTGAACGGTGCGTTAAGTGTGGAGAGGACCACAACAGCACCAGCTGCAGTCTGCCAGCGCCGCCAACAGGGCAACGAAACGCCAAATGTTGCCTCTGTGGAGAAGGCCACCCCGCCAACTACAAGGGATGTAGTAAGGCGCCGAAGAAAGCTGCTTCTGCCCCCAAAGCAGTCCCCACCACAAATAGGACTTCTTACGCTCAAAAAGCGAAGAAGCCTATGTCCACTTCTGCCCCAGCAGCCGCCACTGCTACTGGAACTACTGCGCAGAAGCAACACGGCGATGACAGACTGCTAGCAATGATGCAAGCCATCATAACCCGCCTGGATGCACTCGAGGCCAAGATGCAAGACAAGCACTAGACCCGAAATGTCTACAGGTCAAAACGTAGAATCTCTACGCATTATCTCCTGGAACATCAACGGATTCAGGGCACGGAAACCAGAAATCCAGGAGATACTAGACCAGTACCAACCAGAGGTGATGGCCATCCAAGAAACGAAGTTGGATGCTGCCCATAGTCTGACGTTCCCGCGGTACGAGACGTACCGCTACGACAGAAGGGGCAGAGGTGGAGGAGTCGCATTACTTGTCAAACGTACCCTGACGAGTCATGTCCTCGACGATGCCGCAGACATAAATGGGGACGGAATCACGGTCCAGGTCCATCACAACCACCGTCCCTACAGAATCACCTCCCTATATGTGCCACCAGGGGAGGCCCTAGACGAAGATGACATCGCTGACCTCCTGAGAGGCCCAGGAGCACGCATAGTCATCGGAGATCTAAACTGCAAGTCTCCGGCATGGAACAACAACGTCGAAGACAGGAATGCAAGGCAGCTCCAGGAACACGTCGATGCCCTGGCGGGGGTCATCGTCGGTCCGGAGCAACCAACCTACATTCCATTCGGCCTTGGGCGACCTGCGGTACTGGACATAGCCATCCTCCATAACATCAGAGAGGAGTTCGAGATAGAGACCCTGGTGGTAGGATCGTCGGACCACAATCCGATTCTACTAACACTTGGCACAGGATCTAGAACTCGAGATAGCTTGAGCACCAAACGGACGAACTGGAACCTGTACAAATCCAACGTCCAAAGGAACATCACTCAAATTCCAACCATCCGATCAGCGGAGGAACTGGACAACGCAGTAGAGGAGCTGGAGAATGCTGTCCTGCGAGCGCACGAGGACAGCACCCGCTCCGAGACTACGGCAGTTCCTAGACACCTAAATGGTCCAGCACCGCACCATATTAGGCACCTGATCAGGGAGAACAGAAGACTCAAGCGAGAACATCTCCAGCTGTTGACAGAGGAGTCGAGAGTTGCGCGAAACAGAGCATCGTTAGCTCTGAAGAACGCACTCGCGGAACTCCAAAACAACAGATGGAATGCAGCCTGTGCAGAACTAGAGACCCAGGATGGTACGGCCTGGTCTATGCAGCGAAAATTTCGTCGTCAGCGCACCACGATCCCCACTCTTCACGGCCAACGCGGCTTGGCCTACTCCAGTGAAGAAAAAGCCGAAGCATTCGCCGATTCGCTAGAATCCGAATGCAGACTCAATTACCATGAAGACGAGGACGACAACCACGAGGAGGCCGTGGAAGTCGCAGCTGAAAACATGAGGAGTCGACCACCTGGCCAGGAGACGGATCACCCCTCCAGTCCAGAGGAAATCCGTCTGATCATCCGCAGGTTGAAGGTCAGAAAGGCGCCGGGAAGGGACGGCATCAACAACAGGATGCTGAAGAACCTTCCCACCAAAGGCATTGCTGCGCTCACCAACATCGCCAATGCCACCCTGAGACTTAACCACTTCCCGCGGCGGTGGCGGGAAGCCCAGGTTATAATGCTCACCAAGCCAGGCAAGGACCGGAAGTTGCCCCAGAACTACCGGCCCATCAGCCTGGTTTCCTCGATGGGCAAAGTAGTCGAAAAGGCTATCGCCGTTCGACTAGAGAAGCAGGCAGAAGAACTGCAACTTCTCCCCCCAGAGCAATTCGGCTTCAGATCCTCGCACAACACGGAACTCCAAGCGCTACGACTGACAGAAAACATCACCAGCGGCTTCAATCTCCAGGAGGCAACCGGTCTCGTCCTGCTGGACGTGGAACGAGCCTTCGACCGAGTTTGGCACGATGGACTCATCGCCAAAATGGAAGCCGCCGGAATCGATGCGAACATGTGCCAACTAATCCAGAGCTATCTAACACAAAGATGGTTCACGGTGAAGATTGGTACATGCCATTCAACAAGACGTCAGCTGGAAGCAGGCGTGCCCCAGGGGTCAGCCTTAGCCCCCCTGCTCTACAACATCTATACTTACGATGTGCCGAAGACAGCTGACACAATGCTGGCCCTATATGCAGACGACACTGCTATAGCCGCCAAGCATAGACGACCCGAGATCATCCGTAGGAGACTAGAGGGTGAACTGGACCAAATTCAGGACTGGTGCGTGAAATGGAAAATCCGCATCAACGTCCAGAAGACGCAGGCAATCTTCATTCAACGAAGAAGGATTGCAAGACCTCTTGAAGCATCCATCTTCGATGAAGATATCCAGTGGAGCGACAATGTCAAATATCTGGGGATCGTTTTTGACAAGTCCCTCACCTGGAAAGCGCACATAGAAGCTGTCATCGCAAAAACCAGAGCAGCCATGGCTCAACTCTATCCATTACTGGGTAGACACAGCCAGATGCCGCTAGCGACCAAGCTACGGCTAATCAAGGCCATCGCCAGACCTCAGCTCGCTTACGCCTCCGCGGTCTGGGGGTACGCTGCCCCCAGCTACCGCAAGCGACTTGCTGCTCTAGAGATGAAGCTACTCCGGATCGCCACCAATGCACCTTCCTACGTAAGGAACTCAACCTTGCGTAGAGACCTGCATTGGGATACCATCCACGAGTACATGAGGAAAAAAGCGGAGAAGACCTTCGAGAAAGCTCAGGACGATCCGGACGAGAGGCCTCGCAACCGCAGAACCAGGTACCCCAGACCAAGGTCCCAGTTAGCACCCGCTAACTGGAACCTTGACTAGGAGACTAGGGGAATTTGCGGCTGCTCCCCCCCCCCACGGCGTGGATGCAGAGGACCAGGAACCACCGGGACCAGGACCCACCGGGACCAGGACCAACCAGGAACAGGACCCGCCACGACCAGGACCCACCAGGACCAGGACCCTTCAGGACCAGGACCAGGAACAACATATTGGTAAGAGGACTTGAAACTCTTGATTTTTCGAAAACAAGAGTTTCAAGAGAAACTAGCAGACCCTCTATCGATGATCGCTTAACGACATCGATAGAATGTGCGAGGTAAAGGGAACCAACCCGGCGTTCCCAGAGACTGAAACACATGAGGAGACGTTGTAGCAGACCGCAGGTCACGCACAACACATGGCCTACCGAGACGCTGATGAGTCGGGCCACGCGGAGGTTTAGGGTTTAGTGGGTATTAGGTGATCTCTTCAAGACCCTGGAGCCCCACACACGTCGTAGCTCGTGCTATGGTATGGTGCGTAAATGCATTCCCCCCTCGTTAAAAAAAAAAAAAAATAAATCATGAGCAGTCAGACTTTAGTTCGAAGATGGATCTGATGGTGAATGAAGCGATGCTTGAAGACGGTCTGCCTAGGTGCTCGACGCCCATTCGGAGGTCGATGTACCAACCAAGACCTAACTGTAGTAGCGCTACTGATAACGAGGGTTATTCGAGGTTCCGCTGCAGGTTGGACTTGGGAGGCGTGGCTCCAAGGCTTCGGGGGTCACCATGCGCAATTCCAGGGGTGCTCTACGGACTCATCAGGAAGTAAATGTCCTGAAAAAAAAACGGTTCTTTTCAGAGCCACTAATTTATCTGCAATGAAAAAAGATTATTAGTATTTTTTTTTCCGATTTTTGCGTTTGGTGTCAGCGCAACCATCTACATAATGAGTAAGAGAGATTTTGAAAATACCGTAATCCCGGTTTCGATGCAGGCTTTGTCGACGCAAATCCCGCACAGCAAGCGGATGTGTTGAGAAGCGCAGTTACCGCATATAGAGGAAGACCTTTCCGAGGGCAGAGAGGTAATAGAGGCGGAAGAGGCCGCCAACAGTATCAACAGCGCCGCAATGAAGATTTCCGGCAGAATAAATCTAAGATCACAGAACATGATTTATCAATGGCTTTGAAGAATAAACTATTTCCTGGTATTAAAGATGGACAGACAGCAGCAGAAAGAGTGGAAGCTGTAAACACACTTAAGGCTATAACCATTTGCATAACTACAAGAACAATTGGGTTTGGAACTACACATTTATTTGCTTGTTTATACGAATATAACAATGTGCCAGTTCGAGGTTCGATATACCAATTTTATAGAGTAGGTCTAGCATTGGTAAATGTCAAAGTACAATTAGTACAAAGAGGATTAGCGTGCATTACTAGCCCTAGTGATATTGACATTAGAGATTTGGAAATTCATAATCTCTTGAAAAAACGGTTACAAGATTGTTTTCAGTTGTGATTGCCTGCGAAGCTAAAAATATGAACTAGCCGACCAATCAGCGCGCACTTGACGGCAGAGGGCAGAGTCTACGCCTGTCGTAAGGACTTATCCCCTCTCCAGGTTAGAACCGGTCAATATAAATAGAGGCCGCCGTCATTTCATGAGCAGTCAGACTTTAGTTCGAAGATGGATCTGATGGTGAATGAAGCGATGCTTGAAGACGGTCTGCCTAGGTGCTCGACGCCCATTCGGAGATCGATGTACCAACCAAGACCTAACTGTAGTAGCGCTACTGATAACGAGGGTTATTCGAGGTTCCGCTGCAGGTTGGAGTTGGGAGGCGTGGCTCCAAGGCTTCGGGGTTCACTATGCGCAATTCCAGGGGTGCTCTCTGGACTCATCAGGAAGTAAATGTCCTGAAAAAAAAACGGTTCTTTTCAGAGCCACTAACTTATCTGCAACGAAAAAAGGTTTTTATTTTTTTTCCGTTTTTTGCGTTTGGTGTCCGCGCAACCATCTACATAATGAGTAGGCGAGATTTTGAAAAATACCGTAATCCCGGTTTCGATGCAGGCTTTGTCGACGCACATCCCGCACAACCCGTACGTCCTCGAGTTCGTTCTGCGGGGCGGCCTTGGGCGCTGAACCGTGTGCGACCGTGTAGGGGGGGCAACGGGGTGCCGGTCTTGCGGTGGACCGCCTCGATTAGTTTTTGAGGAGACCCGCCGGAAAGCCGGTAGCCCGGCCAATCGAATGATTCGTTGAGCCACAGGTGTCTCGGATGTATATCTGGGACGCCTGCAGCTCAACGGTCATCATGGGCAATGGTACGTTACCCAACCCAAGGTGTTAAGCGATTCCGTGCCGAGGGGTGCGTGGCGGTGGGGATGCACCGTCTTAAACGGAGCCTCTGGGACACCGGGCGACCTCCCAGAGTATCCAGCCTTGCGTCCGTGTAGGGGCACCGCGGACGTCGATCACCACTTCCCCTATACTCGTGGGAACATTATGGAACCAAACGATGGAAACAATAATAAAAAACCCGAGGCCCCCCCTACAGGGGACCCCGAACATCCAGGCGACCCCTCACCAGGGGACCCTGATCGTACTCTGACAGAGGAATCTGTCAGAAGCTTAGCGAGAGAGCTAGCGGAAAGGGTGGGCTCTCTAAAGATTAAGAAAAAGTCTCGGCCAGGTTCCGAAAGGAAAAGGGCTCGGAAGCGGAGAGAGGCGCAGATGACGGAGGGCTCGGAAGGTCGGGGCACCATTTCTGGGACCCCGGCTGGACGGACCCAACCGCCATCTGGGCTAGACGGTGCGCAATCCGGTGTGTCAGCGGAGACCCTAAAGCGGCCCGGTGACGGGAAGCGGCAGAGGTCTGCCGGTGGGACACCGGAGGGCGCATCCTCGCGGAAGAAGCCTCGCATTGCGACGCATGCGCAAATTAGTTATGCGCGAGCGTCCCAAGCGGGTCTCAGGGTGGCCGTCGTGTCCGACGGTTATCCTGGGACTCAACTTACTAATGTACAGGTGCAGCAGGTCCAGGAGGCGGTCAGTGTGCTGATAGATGGGATCCCAGATGAGGTGACCCTTCCCAGGTACATTGACTGCTACCTCTCTCGAGGGGCAGCCATCTTTGTCTGCGAGGACGAATCCTCTAGGGCATGGTTGGAGGCCCACGTGGGGGATCTGCGGCCGTGGGAAGGCGCAAGGCTCATTACGATGAGCTTTGGAGACCTTCCCATATACCACCGCGTGATGGCCTGGTTTCCGGGTCCCAACCTGGACAACGGGGTCATCACGAGGAGACTCAGGAGACACAATCCTGGGACTTTTCCCAGCGCGTGGAGGATACTTGAGAGGAAGGAAGAGCCGATAGGTGTCCGACTTGTCCTCTCAGTTGATTCCATAAGCTGGAAGGTCATTGTAGGTAACGGCAACAGGCTGTGTTGCGGTGGAAGTTCGGGGGTGTTTACACTCCTGAGCAAGAAGAAGAGCAGTGGAGCGACACCTGCTGGAACTGGCCTGGCTCCAAACCAGGAGTCGGACCAGCCCAGACCGACGGGAGCTGTGGCGGTAGACCAGGCTCCTTCACAGGGGATGGGTCGGCCGGGTCAGCTCTCGCTGGAGCCACCGGAGGCTACGGACGTGGAGGCGGCGGGTCCAAGCGGGATATCCGCAGAAAACATCGTGGCGGACCCTGCGATGGATCTGGTCCCAGAGGAAAACGATAGCGACTCGGACGAGGATGGAATCCTGAACCGAGTCCGAGAACTCCTCCGTGGAAGCGGAGATGAAGGCGGCTGTGGCAGCGATGACTGCGGCGGCGACGGCGGTACGCCCGAATAGGGGTTACATACCGTCATTCGAGAAGGTGTAGGAAGGGCCTCTCAACATCCATGGTAAGTTTTAATTTCATCCAAATTAACTTACAACACTGCATAGCGGCTTCGAGGGCCCTTACTCAGGAGATCACTCGAGGCCGACATGACGTGGCTCTCATCCAGGAACCCTGGCTGAGAAACGGTTCAGTAAACGGGCTTAGTATACCGGGCTATACGCTTTTTAGCGATACTCCGGACACTAAGCCCAGAGCTTGCGTAATGACTTCCGTCAACTCATGGCAACTTAAAGAATTTACATTTAGAGACTTAGTTGCAGTCAGAATTAGATATAAGAAGGAAGGCAGTGACAGGGACTTGGTTGTCTGTTCGGCTTACCTTCCTTACGATTCAAGAGACCCTCCTCCGTCTAAGGAAATGGGGGACCTTGTCGCATTCTGTAGGGATTCTGGACTCGACCTTGTGATTGGATGCGACAGTAATGCCCATCACGTTGCGTGGGGCAGCTCGAACACCAACAGACGAGGCGAAGACCTGATGGAGTTTCTTGGGGCATCGAACCTTGAGGTTCTGAATGTCGGTAACATGCCCACTTTCAGCAATAGTGTAAGAGAAGAGGTTATCGACGTAACACTGAGCACGCTTAACTTAGCTCAGGACATCAGGGACTGGAAAGTGTCTCTAACACCCTCTCTATCGGATCACAGGTATATACTGTTCAAGACTGATGGAGAGATTCCGGATAAATATGCTCGGAATCCCAGGCATACTAGATGGGGGTCCTTTAGGGCAGACATTGACAGTAAGCTTGGAGCGGTCCCATACAGGCTTGGCAGGGGCTCTGACATAGAAGCAGCTGTCGAGTCTCTGAGCAGGGACTTGACGGCCGCATATGAGGAAAACTGCCCGTTACGCAAAGTACAAGGTAAGGGCAAGGCAACCTTCTGGACCAAAGATTTAGAGGATAGAAAACGAGCGGTGCACAAACTTCTTAGCAGAGTTAAGCACAGGAGAGGTTCTCCTCTATGGGAAGAATACAAAAAGGCATTGCAGGAGTACAAAAAGGAGATTAGAAGGGCCTCCAGAGAATCCTGGAGGCACTTCTGTCAGTCCATAAATGACATTCCTGCTACTGCAAGAATACACAGAGTCCTATGCAAAGACACTAAAGCAAGATTGGGATCTCTGCATGATCCCTCGGGAGGGAACACTACTTCCGAGGAAGATACTCTGAGGCTTCTGATGGATACGCACTTTCCCGGTTCCACAGTAGCGCGATCAATCACAGAGTGCATGCAGTTGCGCAGGCCCTCAAGGGAGGACTGGCGCACGGCAAGGGAGATTGTCACCTTCGAAAGGACGGTATGGGCAGTAGATTCGTTTGCCCCATACAAAAGTCCAGGTCTGGACGGCGTATTTCCGGCCATGTTACAGCAGGGACGGATTTCGGTTGTTCCTTACCTGTTGAATGTGTTTCGAGCATGTGTGGCCACGGGCTTCACACCTAGAAGTTGGCGGCAGGCTAAAGTGGTATTCATTCCTAAACCGGGCAGAGATAGATATACTGGCCCGAAGGATTTTCGACCGATTACTCTTTCATCTTTTGTGCTTAAGACCCTGGAAAGGATAGTTGATAGATACCTAAGGGATGGCCCACTGGAAAGGTGTGTCATTCATGCAAATCAGTTTGCATACCAAGCTGGAAAATCGACTGATCTGGCCTTACACAATCTGGTTGGGAGGCTGGAGAAGACTCTAGATCAGCGAGAAGTGGCACTCGTGGCCTTCTTAGATATTGAAGGTGCATTTAATTGCACCACAACCGACTCTATCAGACAGGCCTTGGTTAGACACGGGGTTGGATCAATCCTAATAGATTGGGTCCTCTCTACTCTGGAGGGTCGGGTAACAACAGCTATGCTGAATAACGTAAGCTGCAGCGTGAACGTAGCTAGAGGCTGCCCTCAGGGTGGAGTTCTGTCACCCCTACTGTGGTGTATCGTGGTGAACGAACTGCTCGTTAGGCTCAACAGTATGGGTGTCTACGTGCAAGCCTATGCTGATGACGTAAGCATAGTGGTTAGGGGGCGTTTCTGTAGAACAGTCTCGGAAATTATGCAGGGCGCTCTGCGCTCCGTGGAATCGTGGTGTAGGGAAGTCGATCTTTCTGTTAATGCTGAAAAGACCGAGCTGATCCTATTCACTAGGAGAAGAAGGCTTGACGGACTGGTCATGCCTACCTTCTTTGGGACTAGATTAGTTTTGTCCCAGTCAGTGAAATATCTGGGAATTATCCTGGACTGCAAACTGAACTGGAGAGAGCATGTGGAACACAAGGTTAGCAAGGCTCGCAATTCGATGTGGGCTTGTAGACGTGTTGTCGGTGTAAGGTGGGGGCTTAAACCCAAAGTGGTATACTGGCTCTACACGACGATAGTACGTCCATCTCTCTTGTACGGCTCCCTGGTCTGGTGGCCTTGCATTAGAACTGAGTCAACTAAGGCCAAACTCAATAAAATTCAGCGTTTGGCCTGTATTAGCATTACAAGCGCAGTGCGAACAACGCCATTGAGTGCAATGGAAGCTCTGTTGGATCTCCCACCGTTGGATCTGGTGATCCGCGGTGAAGCGAGAGTAGTCGCTCATCGACTGTGGAGTCAGGGCAGCTGGGCTTTCTTGAATCCGGTCAAGGGGCATACTGCCATATTAGTCGAATTAGATAGGGAGGACCCCGTCCTTCTAAGCAGGGGTGATCGTATTACCCCTAAATATCGCTTCAACCGCAAGTTCATTGTGGAGTACCCAACGAGGGAGGAGTGGGACGCCGGTAGCCGAGGACTCTCCGAAGTGAGCGGGCAGGTCTGGTACACGGACGGCTCGGTCACCGAAGAGGGCTCAGGTGCTGGGGTCTCTGGACCTAGAACTAGGCTATCTCTGCCTCTCGGTGAGTACACCACCATTTTCCAGGCGGAAATCTTTGCGATTCTGGCTTGTGTATCTCACATTCTGGAGGAGGGTGGGCCTAGGAGAAGAATAACAATCTTATCCGACAGCCAGGCTGCAATGAAAGCACTAAGTGCATGTAAGATTACTTCGAGTCTTGTATTGCAATGCAGGGAGGCTCTGGATTGCCTCGCAGCGAGGCATCCGGTATCGTTAATATGGGTACCGGGGCACGCTGGGATAAGGGGCAATGAGACGGCGGACACTCTGGCGAAAACAGGATCAGCCAGCAAGCTCGTTGGTCCTGAGCCAGCTCTAGGAGTAACCGCGCATAAAGCTAGGAGGAAAATGGAGACGTGGGTTGCAAGACAACACTCTCAGAAATGGAGAAGTATCTCTAGACATCTCCGCCAGGCACGAGAGCTCATTGAAGGGCCCAGTGCTAAGGATGGACGCTTCTGCCTATCTCTGGGTAGAGCCAACCTAAGGTTGCTGGTGGGACTGTTGTCTGGCCATAACACGTTAAGGCGGCACCTGCACGTGATGGGGGTGGCTGAGGATCCCTTATGCGAACGCTGCGGAGTAGAGGAAGAGACCTCGGCGCACGTTTTGTGTCGCTGTGAAGCTCTTAGCTACTATAGGCAGACTATACTGGGGTCCATTACTTTGGACCCTCAGGACGTAAAGGAGCTTGGACTCAAGGCGATTCTCAACTTCGCTAAAAGGGCGAGGCTTGTGATTTAAGTATTGTAGAGGTGCATAAGGGCCCGCTTAAGCGGCCTATGCACTGGCTCCTTATGGTGGCCGGGATGCCTCTAAAATTCAAGATTCATTCATTCATCACATCCCGCACAGCAAGCGGATGTGTTGAGAAGCGCAGTTACCCCATATAGAGGAAGACCTTTCCGATGGCAGAGAGGTAATAGAGGCGGAAGAGGCCGCCAGCAGTATCAACAGCGCCGCAATGAAGATTTCCGGCAGAATAAATCTAAGATCACAGAACATGATTTATCAATGGCTTTGGAGAATAAACTATTTCCTGGTATTAAAGATGGACAGACAGCAGCAGAAAGAGTGGAAGCTGTAAACACACTTAAGGCTATAACCATTTGCATAACAACAAGAACAATTGGGTTTGGAACTACACATTTATTTGCTTGTTTATACGAATATAACAATGTGCCAGTTCGAGGTTCGATATACCAATTTTATAGAGTAGGTCTAGCATTGGTAAATGTCAAAGTACAATTAGTACAAAGAGGATTAGCGTGCATTACTAGCCCTAGTGATATTGACATTAGAGATTTGGAAATTCATAATCTCTTGAAAAAACGGTTACAAGATTGTTTTCAGTTGTGATTGCCTGCGAAGCTAAAAATATGAACTAGCCGACCAATCAGCGCGCGCTTGACGGCAGGGGGCAGACTCTACGCCTGTCGTAAGGACTTATCCCCTCTCCAGGTAAGAACCGGTCAATATAAATAGAGGCCGCCGTCATTTCATGAGCACCGCTCAGTTCCGAGCTAGCAGCCGTCACGAGCATACACTTGTGCGACTGCGACCCACCCGGACATATTGAGCAATCTTATTGCAATTTTCATTGCGATAGATTGTTTGTTTGCCATCTACGATGGCAAAAATTGAGAAGCTGGCTAACCAGCTGAAAGAAAAGAAGGATGCTTTCGCCATGCTGGAAGAGCAGATGCGAAACCTGCAAGAAGCATTCTTGCAGGCCAGACAGGAGATTGAAGACCTGAGCGGGAAGCTCCGCAGGGCCAAGAAGAAGGCCGCAAAGAAGACAGGAGAAGAGGAGGAAGAGGACCACCAGGCGACATCGGACGAGATGGACGCCCAAGAAGAGGGCACTCAACAGACCGAAGGACCGAAGGAAGAAGAAGCCGAGAAGAGGACGGACGACACCGACTTCAGTGTCGCCACCAGACGGAGGAAGCGGGTGCGAGTTTCCTCCGAAGAAGAAGAAGAAGAACCCAGGCAGCGAAAGATGCCAGCTGCCACAAAGAAGAGTGGTCCTAGAGCAACCAGGACCACCGAGGCCCCCATGGCAGGAACAGGAGTTCCGCCAATCAACATCGAGGGCACCGCTGATTGGTCATCCTTGAGTAGGATGATGAACAGCAAGGGGATTCAATTCTCCAAAGCGAGGACGGCGGGTACCAGTGTGAAGGTATTCACAAATACACCAGCTGACTACCGTCAGCTAGTCGCACTGCTTGAATCCATCAAGCGGCCCTTCTTCACATATCAACTGAAGGAGGACAGGATGGACCAGAGGGTCATTCGTGGGCTTCCGAGAGAGATGTCAGTCAATGACATCAAAGAGGATCTGGTGAGCCAAGGCATCGCAGACGCCGTGGTTCAGCAGCTGACCTCAAGGACCACAAAGAAGCCACTTCCGCTCTTCCTCGTCAAGACGAAGATGCCGGAAAAGCTTGCAGAGATCCAGAGGCTGGCCATGCTCACGGTCAGCTTCGAGAGGAAGAAAAAGTCTTCCGAGCCCAGCCAGTGCTACCGCTGCCAGCGGTACGGGCACACACAGCGGAACTGCCGTCTCGCTGAACGGTGCGTTAAGTGTGGAGAGGACCACAACAGCACCAGCTGCAGTCTGCCAGCGCCGCCAACAGGGCAACGAAACGCCAAGTGTTGCCTCTGTGGAGAAGGCCACCCCGCCAACTACAAGGGATGTAGTAAGGCGCCGAAGAAAGCTGCTTCTGCCCCCAAAGCAGTCCCCACCACAAATAGGACTTCTTACGCCCAAAAAGTGAAGAAGCCTATGTCCACTTCTGCCCCAGCAGCCGCCACTGCTACTGGAACTACTACGCAGAAGCAACACGGCGATGACAGACTGCTAGCAATGATGCAAGCCATCATAACCCGCCTGGATGCACTCGAGGCCAAGATGCAAGACAAGCACTAGACCCGAAATGTCTACAGGTCAAAACGTAGAATCTCTACGCATTATCTCCTGGAACATCAACGGTTTCAGGGCACGGAAACCAGAAATCCAGGAGATACTAGACCAGTACCAACCAGAGGTGATGGCCATCCAAGAAACGAAGTTGGATGCTGCCCATAGTCTGACGTTCCCGCGGTACGAGACGTACCGCTACGACAGAAGGGGCAGAGGTGGAGGAGTCGCATTACTCGTCAAACGTACCTTGACGAGTCATGTCCTCGACGATGCCGCAGACATAAATGGGGACGGAATCACGGTCCAGGTCCATCACAACCACCGTCCCTACAGAATCACCTCCCTGTATGTGCCACCAGGGGAGGCCCTAGACGAAGATGACATCGCTGACCTCCTGAGAGGCCCAGGAGCACGCATAGTCGAAGACAGGAATGCAAGGCAGCTCCAGGAACACGTCGATGCCCTGGCGGGGGTCATCGTCGGTCCGGAGCAACCAACCTACATTCCATTCGGCCTTGGGCGACCTGCGGTACTGGACATAGCCATCCTCCGCAACATCAGAGAGGAGTTCGAGATAGAGACCCTGGTGGAAGGATCGTCGGACCACAATCCGATTCTACTAACACTTGGTACAGGGTCTAGAACTCGAGATAGCTTGAGCACCAAACGGACGAACTGGAACCTTTACAAATCCAACGTCCAGAGGAACATCACTCAAATTCCAACCATCCGATCAGCGGAGGAACTGGACAACGCAGTAGAGGAGCTGGAGAATGCTGTCCTGCGAGCGCACGAGGACAGCACCCGCTCCGAGACTACGGCAGTTCCTAGATACCTAAATGGTCCAGCACCGCACCATATTAGGCACCTGATCAGGGAGAACAGAAGACTCAAGCGAGAACATCTCCAGCTGTTGACAGAGGAGTCGAGAGTTGCGCGAAACAGAGCATCGTTAGCTCTGAAGAGCGCACTCGCGGAACTCCAAAACAACAGATGGAATGCAGCCTGTGCAGAACTAGAGACCCAGGATGGTACGGCCTGGTCTATGCAGCGAAAATTTCGTCGTCAGCGCACCACGATCCCCACTCTTCACGGCCAACGCGGCTTGGCCTACTCCAGTGAAGAAAAAGCCGAAGCATTCGCCGATTCGCTAGAATCCGAATGCAGACTCAATTACCATGAAGACGAGGACGACAACCACGAGGAGGCCGTGGAAGTCGCAGCCGAAAACATGAGGAGTCGACCACCTGGCCAGGAGACGGATCACCCCTCCAGTCCAGAGGAAATCCGTCTGATCATCCGCAGGTTGAAGGTCAGAAAGGCGCCGGGAAGGGACGGCATCAACAATAGGATGCTGAAGAACCTTCCCACCAAAGGCATTGCTGCGCTCACCAACATCGCCAATGCCACTCTGAGACTTAACCACTTCCCGCGGCGGTGGCGGGAAGCCCAGGTTATAATGCTCACCAAGCCAGGCAAGGACCGGAAGTTGCCCCAGAACTACCGGCCCATCAGCCTGGTTTCCTCGGTGGGCAAAGTAGTCGAAAAGGCTATCGCCGTTCGACTAGAGAAGCAGGCAGAAGAACTGCAACTTCTCCCCCCAGAGCAATTCGGCTTCAGATCCTCCCACAACACGGAACTCCAAGCGCTACGACTGACGGAAAACATCACCAGCGGCTTCAATCTCCAGGAGGCAACCGGTCTCGTCCTGCTGGACGTGGAACGAGCCTTCGACCGAGTTTGGCACGATGGACTCATCGCCAAAATGGAAGCCGCCGGAATCGATGCGAACATGTGCCAACTGATCCAGAGCTATCTAACACAAAGATGGTTCACGGTGAAGATTGGTACATGCCATTCAACAAGACGTCAGCTGGAAGCAGGCGTGCCCCAGGGGTCAGCCTTAGCCCCCCTGCTCTACAACATCTATACTTACGATGTGCCGAAGACAGCTGACACAATGCTGGCCCTATATGCAGACGACACTGCTATAGCCGCCAAGCATAGACGACCCGAGATCATCCGTAGGAGACTACAGGGTGAACTGGACCAAATTCAGGACTGGTGCGTGAAATGGAAAATCCGCATCAACGTCCAGAAGACGCAGGCAATCTTCATTCAACGAAGAAGGATTGCAAGACCTCTCGAAGCATCCATCTTCGATGAAGATATCCAGTGGAGCGACAATGTCAAATATCTGGGGATCGTTTTTGACAAGTCCCTCACCTGGAAAGCGCACATAGAAGCTGTCATCGCAAAAACCAGAGCAGCCATGGCTCAACTCTATCCATTACTGGGTAGACACAGCCAGATGCCGCTAGCGACCAAGCTACGGCTGATCAAGGCCATCGCCAGACCTCAGCTCGCTTACGCCTCCGCGGTCTGGGGGTACGCTGCCCCCAGCTACCGCAAGCGACTTGCTGCTCTAGAGATGAAGCTACTCCGGATCGCCACCAATGCACCTTCCTACGTAAGGAACTCAACCTTGCGTAGAGACCTGCATTCGGATACCATCCACGAGTACATGAGGAAAAAAGCGGAGAAGACCTTCGAGAAAGCTCAGGACCACCCGAACGAGCAGCTACGATTCCTCATGGACTACGATCCGGACGAGAGGCCTCGCAACCGCAGAACCAGGTACCCCAGACCAAGGTCCCAGTTGGCACCCGCTAACTGGAACCTTGACTAGGAGACAAGGAGAATTTGCGGCTGCTCCCCCCCCCCCCCCCACGGCGTGGATGCAGAGGACCAGGAACCACCGGGACCAGGACCCACCGGGACCAGGACCAACCAGGACCCGCCACGACCAGGACCCACCAGGACCAGGACCCTTCAGGACCAGGACCAGGAACAACATATTGGTAAGATGACTTGAAACTCTTGATTTTTCGAAAACAAGAGTTTCAAGAGAAACTAGCAGACCCTCTATCGATGATCGCTTAACGACATCGATAGAATGTGCGAGGTAAAGGGAACCAACCCGGCGTTCCCAGAGACTGAAACACATGAGGAGACGTTGTAGCAGACCGCAGGTCACGCACAACACATGGCCTACCGAGACGCTGATGAGTCGGGCCACGCGGAGGTTTAGGGTTTAGTGGGTATTAGGTGATCTCTTCAAGACCCTGGAGCCCCACACACGTCGTAGCTCGTGCTATGGTATGGTGCGTAAATGCATTCCCCCCTCGTTAAAAAAAAAAAAAAAAAAAAAAAAAAAAAAAAAAAAAAACAAAATCATGAGCAGTCAGACTTTAGTTCGAAGATCGATCTGATGGTGAATGAAGCGATGCTTGGTGCCTAGGTGCTCGACGCCCATTCGGAGGTCGATGTACCAACCAAGACCTAACTGTAGTAGCGCTACTGATAACGAGGGTTATTCGAGGTTCCGCTGCAGGTTGGAGTTGGGAGGCGTGGCTCCAAGGCTTCGGGGGACACCATGCGCAATTCCAGGGGTGCTCTCTGGACTCATCAGGAAGTAAATGTCCTGAAAAAAAAAAACGGTTCTTTTCAGAGCCACTAATTTATTTGCAATGAAAAAAGATTATTATTTTTTTTTCCGATTTTTGCGTTTGGTGTCAGCGCAACCATCTACATAATGAGTAGGCGAGATTTTGAAAAATACCGTAATCCCGGTTTCGATGCAGGCTTTGTCGACGCACATCCCGCACAGCAAGCGGATGTGTTGAGAAGCGCAGTTACCCCATATAGAGGAAGACCTTTCCGATGGCAGAGAGGTAATAGACGTGGAAGAGGCCGCCAGCAGTATCAACAGCGTCGCAATGAAGATTTCCGGCAGAATAAATCTAAGATCACAAAACATGATTTATCAATGGCTTTGAAGAATAAACTGTTTCCTGGTATTAAAGATGGACAGACAGCAGCAGAAAGAGTGGAAGCTGTAAACACACTTAAGGCTATAACCATTTGCATAACAACAAGAACAATTGGGTTTGGAACTACACATTTATTTGCTTGTTTATACGAATATAACAATGTGCCAGTTCAAGGTTCGATATACTAATTTTATAGAGTAGGTCTAGCATTGGTAAATGTCAAAGTACAATTAGTACAAAGAGGATTAGCGTGCATTACTAGCCCTGGTGATATTGACATTAGAGATTTGGAAATCCATAATCTCTTGAAAAAACGGTTACAACAAGATTGTTTTCAGTTGTGATTGCCTGCGAAGCTAAAAATATGAACTAGCCGACCAATCAGCGCGCGCTTGACGGCAGGGGCAGAGTATACGCCTGTCGTAAGGACTTATCCCCTCTCCAGGTAAGAACCGGTCAATATAAATAGAGACCGCCGTCATTTCATGAGCAGTCAGACTTTAGTTCGAAGATGGATCTGATGGTGAATGAAGCGATGCTTGAAGACGGTCTGCCTAGGTGCTCGACGCCCATTCGGAGGTCGATGTACCAACCAAGACCTAACTGTAGTAGCGCTACTGATAACGAGGGTTATTCGAGGTTCCGCTGCAGGTTGGAGTTGGGAGGCGTGGCTCCAAGGCTTCGGGGGTCACCATGCGCAATTCCAGGGGTGCTCTCTGGACTCATCAGGAAGTAAATGTCCTGAAAAAAAACGGTTCTTTTCAGAGCCACTAATTTATCTGCAATGAAAAAACATTATTGTTTTTTTTCCGATTTTTGCGTTTGGTGTCAGCGCAACCATCTACATAATGAGTAGGCGAGATTTTGAAAAATACCGTAATCCCGGTTTCGATGCAGGCTTTGTCGACGCACAGCAAGCAGATGTGTTGAGAAGCGCAGTTTGTTACCCCATATAGAGGAAGACCTTTCCGAGGGCAGAGAGGTAATAGAGGCGGAAGAGGCCGCCAGCAGTATCAACAGCGCCGCAATGAAGATTTCCGGCAGAATAAATCTAAGATCACAGAACATGATTTATCAATGGCTTTGAAGAATAAACTATTTCCTGGTATTAAAGATGGACAGACAGCAGCAGAAAGAGTGGAAGCTGTAAACACACTTAAGGCTATAACCATTTGCATAACTACAAGAACAATTGGGTTTGGAACTACACATTTATTTGCTTGTTTATACGAATATAACAATGTGCCAGTTCGAGGTTCGATATACCAATTTTATAGAGTAGGTCTAGCATTGGTAAATGTCAAAGTACAATTAGTACAAAGAGGATTAGCGTGCATTACTAGCCCTAGTGATATTGACATTAGAGATTTGGAAATTCATAATCTCTTGAAAAAACGGTTACAACAAGATTGTTTTCAGTTGTGATTGCCTGCGAAGCTAAAAATATGAACTAGCCGACCAATCAGCGCGCGCTTGACGGCAGGGGGCAGAGTCTACGCCTGTCGTAAGGACTTATCCCCTCTCCAGGTAAGAACCGGTCAATATAAATAGAGGCCGCCGTCATTTCATGAGCAGTCAGACTTTAGTTCGAAGTTCGAACTGATGGTGAATGAAGCGATGCTTGGTGCCTAGGTGCTCGACGCCCATTCGGAGGTCGATGTACCAACCAAGACCTAACTGTAGTAGCGCTACTGATAACGAGGGTTATTCGAGGTTCCGCTGCAGGTTGGACTTGGGAGGCGTGGCTCCAAGGCTTCGGGGATCTAACCAGTTAGTTTACAGCACCAGCTGTCTGTCAATGTACCAACCAAGACCTAACTGTAGTAGCGCTACTGATAACGAGGGTTATTCGAGGTTCCGCTGCAGGTTGGAGTTGGGAGGCGTGGCTCGAAGGCTTCGGGGGTCACCATGCGCAATTCCAGGGGTGCTCTCTGGACTCATCAGGAAGTAAATGTCCTGAAAACAAAAAACGGTTCTTTTCAGAGCAACTAATTTATTTGCAATGAAAAAAGATTATTATTTTTTTTCCGATTTTTGCGTTTGGTGTCAGCGCAACCATCTACATAATGAGTAGGCGAGATTTTGAAAAATACCGTAATCCCGGTTTCGATGCAGGCTTTATCGACGCACATCCCGCACAGCAAGCGGATGTGTTGAGAAGCGCAGTTACCCCATATAGAGGAAGACCTTTCCGATGGCAGAGAGGTAATAGACGTGGAAGAGGCCGCCAGCAGTATCAACAGCGCCGCAATGAAGATTTCCGGCAGAATAAATCTAAGATCACAGAACATGATTTATCAATGGCTTTGAAGAATAAACTATTTCCTGGTATTAAAGATGGACAGACAGCAGCAGAAAGAGTGGAAGCTGTAAACACACTTAAGGCTATAACCATTTGCATAACAACAAGAACAATTGGGTTTGGAACTACACATTTATTTGCTTGTTTATACGAATATAACAATGTGCCAGTTCGAGGTTCGATATACTAATTTTATAGAGTAGGTCTAGCATTGGTAAATGTCAAAGTACAATTAGTACAAAGAGGATTAGCGTGCATTACTAGCCCTGGTGATATTGACGTTAGAGATTTGGAAATTCATAATCTCTTGAAAAAACGGTTACAACAAGATTGTTTTCAGTTGTGATTGCCTGCGAAGCTAAAAATATGAACTAGCCGACCAATCAGCGCGCACTTGACGGCAGAGGGCAGAGTCTACGCCTGTCGTAAGGACTTATCCCCTCTCCAGGTAAGAACCGGTCAATATAAATAGAGGCCGCCGTCATTTCATGAGCAGTCAGACTTTAGTTCGAAGATGGATCTGATGGTGAATGAAGCGATGCTCGACGCCCATTCGGAGGTCGATGTACCAACCAAGACCTAACTGTAGTAGCGCTACTGATAACGAGGGTTATTCGAGGTTCCGCTGCAGGTTGGACTTGGGAGGCGTCGCTCCAAGGCTTCGGGGGTCACCATGCGCTATTCCAGGGGTGCTCTCTGGACTCATCAGGAAGTAAATGTCCTGAAAAAAAAACGGTTCTTTTCAGAGCCACTAATTTATCTGCAATGAAAAAAGATTATTATTATTTTTTTTTCGGATTTTTGAGTTTGGTGTCAGCGCAACCCCCTCACCAAAAAAAAAAAAAAAAAATCATGAACAACAGAGAACCAGCAGACCCTCTATCGATGATCGCTTAACGACATCGATAGAATGTGCGAGGTAAAGGGAACCAACCCGGCGTTCCCAGAGACTGAAACACATGAAGAGACGTTGTAGCAGACCGCAGGTCACGCACAACACATGGCCTACCGAGACGCTGATGAGTCAGGCCACGCGGAGGTTTAGGGTTTAGTGGGTATTAGGTGATGTCCTCAAGACCCTGGAGTCCCACACACGCCGTAACTCGGGCTATGGTATGGTGCGTAAATGCATTCCCCCCTCACCAAAACAAAAAAAAAATCATGAGCAGTCAGACTTTAGTTCGAAGATGGATCTGATGGTGAATGAAGCGATGCTTGGAGACGGTCTGCCTAGGTGCTCGACGCCTATTCGGAGGTCGATGTACCAACCAAGACCTAACTGTAGTAGCGCTACTGATAACAAGGGTTATTCGAGGTTCCGCTGCAGGTTGGACTTGGGAGGCGTGGCTCCAAGGCTTCGGGGGTCACCATGCGCAATTCCAGGGGTGCTCTCTGGACTCATCAGGAAGTAAATGTCCTGAAAAAAAAACGGTTCTTTTCAGAGCCACTAATTTATCTGCAATGAAAAAACATTATTGTTTTTTTTACGATTTTTGCGTTTGGTGTCAGCGCAACCATCTACATAATGAGTAGGCGAGATTTTGAAAAATACCGTAATCCCGGTTTCGATGCAGGCTTTGTCGACGCACAGTAAGCGGATGTGTTGAGAAGCGCAGTTTGTTACCCCATATAGAGGAAGACCTTTCCGAGGGCAGAGAGGTAATAGAGGCGGAAGAGGCCGCCAGCAGTATCAACAGCGCCGCAATGAAGATTTCCGGCAGAATAAATCTAAGATCACAGAACATGATTTATCAATGGCTTTGAAGAATAAACTATTTCCTGGTATTAAAGATGGACAGACAGCAGCAGAAAGAGTGGAAGCTGTAAACACACTTAAGGCTATAACCATTTGCATAACTACAAGAACAATTGGGTTTGGAACTACACATTTATTTGCTTGTTTATACGAATATAACAATGTGCCAGTTCGAGGTTCGATATACCAATTTTATAGAGTAGGTCTAGCATTGGTAAATGTCAAAGTACAATTAGTACAAAGAGGATTAGCGTGCATTACTAGCCCTGGTGATATTGACATTAGAGATTTGGAAATCCATAATCTCTTGAAAAAACGGTTACAACAAGATTGTTTTCAGTTGTGATTGCCTGCGAAGCTAAAAATATGAACTAGCCGACCAATCAGCGCGCGCTTGACGGCAGGGGGCAGAGTATACGCCTGTCGTAAGGACTTATCCCCTCTCCAGGTAAGAACCGGTCAATATAAATAGAGACCGCCGTCATTTCATGAGCAGTCAGACTTTAGTTCGAAGATGGATCTGATGGTGAATGAAGCGATGCTTGAAGACGGTCTGCCTAGGTGCTCGACGCCCATTCGGAGGTCGATGTACCAACCAAGACCTAACTGTAGTAGCGCTACTGATAACGAGGGTTATTCGAGGTTCCGCTGCAGGTTGGAGTTGGGAGGCGTGGCTCCAAGGCTTCGGGGGTCACCATGCGCAATTCCAGGGGTGCTCTCTGGACTCATCAGGAAGTAAATGTCCTGAAAAAAAAACGGTTCTTTTCAGAGCCACTAATTCATCTGCAATGAAAAAAGGTTATTATTATTTTTTTTTCCGATTTTTGCGTTTGGTGTCAGCGCAACCCCCTCACAAAAAAAAAAAAAAAAAAAATCATGAACAACAGAGAACCAGCAGACCCTCTATCGATGATCGCTTAACGACATCGATAGAATGTGCGAGGTAAAGGGAACCAACCCGGCGTTCCCAGAGACTGAAACACATGAGGAGACGTTGTAGCAGACCGCAGGTCACGCACAACACATGGCCTACCGAGACGCTGATGAGTCAGGCCACGCGGAGGTTTAGGGTTTAGTGGGTATTAGGTGATGTCCTCAAGACCCTGGAGTCCCACACACGCCGTAGCTCGGGCAATGGTATGGTGCGTAAATGCATTCCCCCCTCACCAAAACAAAAAAAAAATCATGAGCAGTCAGACTTTAGTTCGAAGATGGATCTGATGGTGAATGAAGCGATGCTTGGAGACGGTCTGCCTAGGTGCTCGACGCCTATTCGGAGGTCGATGTACCAACCAAGACCTAACTGTAGTAGCGCTACTGATAACAAGGGTTATTCGAGGTTCCGCTGCAGGTTGGACTTGGGAGGCGTGGCTCCAAGGCTTCGGGGGTCACCATGCGCAATTCCAGGGGTGCTCTCTGGACTCATCAGGAAGTAAATGTCCTGAAAAAAAAACGGTTCTTTTCAGAGCCACTAATTTATCTACAATGAAAAAACATTATTGTTTTTTTTTCCGATTTTTGCGTTTGGTGTCAGCGCAACCATCTACATAATGAGTAGGCGAGATTTTGAAAAATACCGTAATCCCGGTTTCGATGCAGGCTTTGTCGACGCACAGCAAGCGGATGTGTTGAGAAGCACAGTTTGTTACCCCATATAGAGGAAGACCTTTCCGAGGGCAGAGAGGTAATAGAGGCGGAAGAGGCCGCCAGCAGTATCAACAGCGCCGCAATGAAGATTTCCGGCAGAATAAATCTAAGATCACAGAACATGATTTATCAATGGCTTTGAAGAATAAACTATTTCCTGGTATTAAAGATGGACAGACAGCAGCAGAAAGAGTGGAAGCTGTAAACACACTTAAGGCTATAACCATTTGCATAACTACAAGAACAATTGGGTTTGGAACTACACATTTATTTGCTTGTTTATACGAATATAACAATGTGCCAGTTCGAGGTTCGATATACCAATTTTATAGAGTAGGTCTAGCATTGGTAAATGTCAAAGTACAATTAGTACAAAGAGGATTAGCGTGCATTACTAGCCCTAGTGATATTGACATTAGAGATTTGGAAATTCATAATCTCTTGAAAAAACGGTTACAACAAGATTGTTTTCAGTTGTGATTGCCTGCGAAGCTAAAAATATGAACTAGCCGACCAATCAGCGCGCGCTTGACGGCAGGGGGCAGAGTCTACGCCTGTCGTAAGGACTTATCCCCTCTCCAGGTAAGAACCGGTCAATATAAATAGAGGCCGCCGTCATTTCATGAGCAGTCAGACTTTAGTTCGAAGATGGATCTGATGGTGAATGATGCGATGCTTGAAGACGGTCTGCCTAGGTGCTCGACGCCTATTCGGAGGTCGATGTACCAACCAAGACCTAACTGTAGTAGCACTACTGATAACGAGGGTTATTCGAGGTTCCGCTGCAGGTTGGACTTGGGAGGCGTGGCTCCAAGGCTTCGGGGGTCACCATGCGCAATTCCAGGGGTGCTCTCTGGACTCATCAGGAAGTAAATGTCCTGAAAAAAACGGTTCTTTTCAGAGCCACTAATTTATCTGCAATGAAAAAACATTATTGTTTTTTTTTCCGATTTTTGCGTTTGGTGTCAAAAATACCGTAATCCCGGTTTCGATGCAGGCTTTGTCGACGCACATCCCGCACAGCAAGCGGATCTAACCAGTTAGTTTACAGCACCAGCTGTCTGTCAATGTACCAACCAAGACCTAACTGTAGTAGCGCTACTGATAACGAGGGTTATTCGAGGTTCCGCTGCAGGTTGGACTTGGGAGGCGTGGCTCCAAGGCTTCGGGGGTCACCATGCGCAATTCCAGGGGTGCTCTCTGGACTCATCAGGAAGTAAATGTCCTGAAAAAAACGGTTCTTTTCAGAGCCACTAATTTATCTGCAATGAAAAAACATTATTGTTTTTTTTTTCCGATTTTTGCGTTTGGTGTCAGCGCAACCATCTACATAATGAGTAGGCGAGATTTTGAAAAATACCGTAATCCCGGTTTCGATGCAGACTTTGTCGACGCACAGCAAGCGGATGTGTTGAGAAGCGCAGTTACCTCATATAGAGGAAGACCTTTCCGAGGGCAGAGAGGTAATAGAGGCGGAAGAGGCCGCCAGCAGTATCAACAGCGCCGCAATGAAGATTTCCGGCAGAATAAATCTAAGATCACAGAACATGATTTATCAATGACTTTGAAGAATAAACTATTTCCTGGTATTAAAGATGGACAGACAGCAGCAGAAAGAGTGGAAGCTGTAAACACACTTAAGGCTATAACCATTTGCATAACTACAAGAACAATTGGGTTTGGAACTACACATTTATTTGCTTGTTTATACGAATATAACAATGCGCCAGTTCGAGGTTCGATATACCAATTTTATAGAGTAGGTCTAGCATTGGTAAATGTCAAAGTACAATTAGTACAAAGAGGATTAGCGTGCATTACTAGCCCTAGTGATATTGACATTAGAGATTTGGAAATTCATAATCTCTTGAAAAAACGGTTACAACAAGATTGTTTTCAGTTGTGATTGCCTGCGAAGCTAAAAATATGAACTAGCCGACCAAACAGCGCGCGCTTGACGGCAGGGGGTAGAGTCTACGCCTGTCGTAAGGACTTATCCCCTCTCAAGGTAAGAACCGGTCAATATAAATAGAGGCCGCCGTCATTTCATGAGCAGTTAGACTTTAGTTCGAAGATGGATCTGATGGTGAATGAAGCGATGCTTGGAGACGGTCTGCCTAGGTGCTCGACGCCTATTCGGAGGTCGATGTACCAACCAAGACCTAACTGTAGTAGCACTACTGATAACGAGGGTTATTCGAGGTTCCGCTGCAGGTTGGACTTGGGAGGCGTGGCTCTAAGGCTTCGGGGGTCACCATGCGCAATTCCAGGGGTGCTCTCTGGACTCATCAGGAAGTAAATGTCCTGAAAAAAAAAACGGTTCTTTTCAGAGCCACTAATTTATCTGCAATGAAAAAAGATTATTATTTTTTTCCGATTTTTGCGTTTGGTGTCAGCGCAACCATCTACATAATGAGTAGGAGAGATTTTGAAAAATACCGTAATCCCGGTTTCGATGCAGGCTTTGTCGACGCACATCCCGCACAGCAAGCGGATGTGTTGAGAAGCGCAGTTACCCCATATAGAGGAAGACCTTTCCGAGGGCAGAGAGGTAATAGAGGCGGAAGAGGCCGCCAGCAGTATCAACAGCGTCGCAATGAAGATTTCCGGCAGAATAAATCTAAGATCACAAAACATGATTTATCAATGGCTTTGAAGAATAAACTGTTTCCTGGTATTAAAGATGGACAGACAGCAGCAGAAAGAGTGGAAGCTGTAAACACACTTAAGGCTATAACCATTTGCATAACAACAAGAACAATTGGGTTTGGAACTACACATTTATTTGCTTGTTTATACGAATATAACAATGTGCCAGTTCGAGGTTCGATATACCAATTTTATAGAGTAGGTCTAGTATTGGTAAATGTCAAAGTACAATTAGTACAAAGAGTATTAGCGTGCATTACTAGCCCTAGTGATATTGACATTAGAGATTCATAATCTCTTGAAAAAACGGTTACAACAAGATTGTTTTCAGTTGTGATTGCGTGCGAAGCTAAAAATATGAACTAGCCGACCAATCAGCGCGCGCTTGACGGCAGGGGGCAGAGTCTACGCCTGTCGTAAGGACTTATCCCCTCTCCAGGTAAGAACCGGTCAATATAAATAGAGGCCGCCGTCATTTCATGAGCAGTCAGACTTTAGTTCAAAGATGGATCTGATGGTGAATGAAGCGATGCTTGGAGACGGTCTGCCTAGGTGCTCGACGCCTATTCGGAGGTCGATGTACCAACCAAGACCTAACTGTTTGCATTCTAAAAAGTACATAGTCTACAAGATGACATCTTATAGGTTTTTTTACGTTTTATAGGTTTGGAATACCACATAGGCAAAATGTTATCTTAGGAAATAATAAACGTTTGATTGCTCACTTTGAAAAATAAAGGTCACAGTGCCATAATGATGCAGTTTTTAAGCTTCCGTCAAATCTAGGCCGTTTAATTTTGTTTGTGATATTAATCACGCTTTGTTCACGCCTGCAGTTCCCTAAAATATGCATCAAAATGTCCACGATATCGAGGTCGTAGACAACACCTAGTGTACAATAAAAATAACAATATAAAATAAGTATGCAAGCAGCTGAAACTGTTCTGGATAATTAACGGAAAACTGTGATAGATCTCTATCACCCAAAAACTTGTGAGAAAACCTTCGGGTGAAAGTGTTGTGTCCTTAGCAGTTCACCTCCATTAGAGAATACAAGTTATGCATTTCTCTTGATTACCACGTCCATCATAAAACCTAAACTTTATTAAAAATTAATATGTCCTAACTTTTTCATGGAGCCACGCATGAACGCTGCATTGCGAACAATGATCAGATCAAAACTGCAACTATTTCCAAACAATCCGCATGGGAAAAATAGGAATTGATCCAGGTGTGCTTTTGTGTGGAACCTGGGGGAGTTCATATTGTACCGAGCGCAAGGGAAGCGCCGATGAATGCAAAAGGGTTGGGGCAGGAAAATATGGACACGGCGATTTTTATCGCATTTATATGCTGACGTGTTATAATCGATACGCGTGTGTCAGTGTATGTGCGGATTGTGTGATACAGGTTGCGTATGCAGGATCATCATTGTCTACTTTTTTTTCATCGTGGCTTTCGATGCACTCCTGCTGATATTCCGAATGTTTTTTACCACTACTAAGGCATTCCATTCAATGTGTAAGATTTTACAAAGACACGTATCAATTGTCGGCCATTGAGTCTTGAGTGTGCCACTTAGATGTTGAACGAACTACAGTTAAATGCTACTTAAATGCTGTTTTGAAATTTGACAGTTGAATGTTGTGACCGTTAGCAGAAAGTTTTTTTTAGGCTAGCAGCATAGACTGCCAGTTTCCAGTTTTGCTTTTTTCTTGGGAAACATCAGCCACTTATGTGTGCTTTTCAGGTAATTTTAGTGAATAGTGCAAGTTAGTAATGAAAAGTGAAAGGTATCTGGATTTTATAGATAAGTCTGAGTACTCAAATAGGGCATAACTATAGGCAACCCGGCATTGCAATGATATGTGATGCTTGGTGCAGTTGTATGTTTTACAGTTTGAGTCTATTTCCAGTGATGAGAATTTTATGGATATTCGATCTAAAACAATTAGAAAATTACTATTCCTATGGCTCAAGCGAATCACCCAGCGATTCTAAATGAGAACTGGGGAAAAGAAATCTGATCATCCTCCATCAAATCGAAAAGTCGTGTAGGGGAAGAAGTAACTAGAATAGCAAAAAAACACCAAGACGCAAAGCTCCTACTTCCCCGAGTCAACCGACTAGCAGTTTGACGTGTTAAACGCTCGGCTAGTGATACCTACTAACCATCAACAAAATGTTGGAAATTTGACTGTAAGAATAGACCTAGAAAGCCAGGATAACTTGCTTTTTCCAAAAATTAATAAAACCCACCCAACTAGCAAAGTAGTGGTATAAGCTTTTGGTAAAAGAACCGTTCAGCAATAAAAGCTCTCTATTGTTGTTGCCTGAACACCAAAATGCTGGCTTAATGATGTGTGGAATGCAAATTTGCTTTCTGCAACATATTTGCTCTAAAATGAGGTGTTTAAAATATTCTTATAGCATAGTTATACATCACCTTATAGGGCAAATTTTTAACTGTTGCATAAACGTTTATACAACTATCTTATACGGCACATTTGCAAGTTAGTAAAAATGGTTGTGTTGTGGCACCCATGCTAACGTTTATAAAACAAACCCGAGCCTTGTTGCTTTGCTGTGCAATTTACTACATTAGCCAACAAATTGCTCCCAACGGAAGCACTTATACAACTGTTACATATGCTAAATATGTTAGTAAAGAACTTCAACACAACCTGACTTTCTGCTATCATATTTTTGTTAAAATGCCATAACCATCTTTTTAAGACAAACAACGCATGCATATTGGTTCAAAATGTTTTATCAACTGTTCAAACAGAAGATATAGATCTGGTACAAATTCTGTGTAAATCATTCGACTCTGTCGGTATTTCATTTCAGACATTTGTCAAATTGTTGTATAACACCTGCAGGCAACACCAAAATATTCTAATAACCTAAAGACAACATGGACGATGCCATGATTGTACACAACCACCCGCCATATTGGGCAAACATTTATTCCTCTATTTAATATTAAATAATTATGTTTCAGTTCGAAATTACAGATATAAAGTGATAAACATAAGTGTAATTATGTCTAAATATAGGATTTGTGGAAGATTTAACGCAGATAAGTTTTTATCATTGTCAAAATATGAATCAAATACGAAGCCCGTAGAAATTGGGTAACTAATTTGCACGATAATCACAATAAAATTTGCTGTGCAAGTAATTCAATAGCCCTATATCAAAGTGTAGAAGTTTATCATATACCTATGTATGAAATTCACAATGGCCGATATGTAAGTAAACAAGATGACTGTAATGTGTTAGTTATATATTCTTCACTTCGTCTATACAATACATAGGAAATAGTTTGGTTGCAATAAAGTAGAATCAGGTAAGAGAATAGTTGTATAGTTGACAAAAACTTAGTCTTGCACTGACGCAAATGTCCTATAGCGGCTGCAAGAGGCTTACACTTTTGTTTTATAACTGTTACCTGCAGCCCTTATACAACCTCTTAAATGACTGAAGTGTCCTATTAGGTGTGCCCATTCCGCTTGTATAGCTGTTCTAAGAGGGTTTTGCTAATATTCTTACAGTATACAATGCTGTTTAAGGAATACTGTATAATCATTCTTGCAACTCTAATAGGAGTGATAATTGTTAGTTGGGCATTGAATCAATTAGAGCACTTTTATTTGTTTTTCATAATTTCAAATCAGACAGGTGACGCCTTCCATACTTCATACATTGAATAAACCGATTTCTTGCGATTGCAATGACCCTTGGCAGCATGTGCTGGCGATTTCTTCCTGGATGTTGTTCTTCAAATCTTGTCGGGTTCTTGGACGGTTCACATAAACACATGACTTCCAAAAACTCCATAGAAAAAGATCACAAGGAACCACTCCAATACGCTCCCAATTGAAATGGGGCGCTATGGGAAGTGTTCCCTCAAAACAGCTATCGATGCTCTTGAAGGGTGTGCCTTTGCACCGTCTTGTTAGAACCAAATGCCCCCTAAGAAAAACTCATATAAGGTATATTCTTTAATTCACCGGTTGAGCTACCGGTGCAACTGGTTAGCCAAGTTTGCGTCCTTTAATTTCCGCTGGAACGACCGGTTGTACATCAAACTTGTCTTTATATTGATGGTGGATATGCCACCGGTACCAACAGCATCCACCAACGTTCGGGCTCGGTTGATCTACGATATTCTAACCTCTACATTTTATCCTTTTTTGACAACTACAGTTTTGTGTGAAAAAATGGAAGAAGAAAAGATTGAAGTTATGCTACAGCATAGGAGTGGCGTGAAATTTAATGTTTTTTTAACACAATTCGAAATAGACGGAGCATCTTAATGCAAGTGATTTTATTTTGAATTATGCATATCTGAAAATTTGCTCTTTCTCTCCACTGGACAACTTCTTCATCCGAATCGCTTAGCAAATGTTCCACCACAATATCAACTGCTGCGTACATCGCCATGATGATCTTAAATGATGCGGAGTTCAAATTAACAGGTAATCATTCACGATAAAGCAAAGGTTAGGTTTTATCATATGACAGCAACCTGAAGGCTAAAAATGCGTCTTTTTATTAACCACCATTTAACGGAACCGGTTGCTGACGTCATCACCGCAGCTGTCAACCATAAGTTCACCGGATCCATCAGTGATGGAATCAACCGGTGATTTAAAGAATATACCTATACTCGTGCTCGTGCTAAATTTATTAGAGTATTTTCAGGAAGAGAATGAAAACAGCGGTTCCTTGTAACCGACTTCATGCGTACTGGAGAGAGTGGCAGATGCGCTGAAGATTAGTCTGCGCAGTGTTCCGCCTATGGTACGGAGATCGATCTGTTTACTTATTTCATATGGCGCTGATGACGTAACCGCCAAGAACGGTGACTACAAATATACCATTTTCATCATAACTATGCAGCTAAGGGAATAGAAGTAATACGCTTCATGATATATCACCTACAATCTCGATATTTTAAATATT